CCAAAAATCAAATATCAGAATATCGATCCGAATATCCTCGTCCACTGGATAATAAAGACAAAAGGGATTGAATAGGGCGTCGCGGATTCAATGGAATTCTTTTTTTTTTTCAAGAGAGAGAAGAAAGGAGAAAACGAACGAGATTGATGATTATGGCCGTGTTGTTAAGCGGAACGTGGTAAATGAAGAGAGAAGGAAGAATGGCGCGGTGTAACGCGCATTGCACCCGGTTTCCTCTTAATAAACGGGATTGTTTTCGAGCCGACGTTAGAGATGTTAATGCGGGACATGTTAATCCGTCGCGGTATAATTGGATCCGGAGGTTGGTGAATTTGACCGCGAACTTCTGCCGCGAGAAACATGAAAGCGTGGATTATGGAGGAATGATGGTTATTAGGGATCGATGGATTACCCATTTTTATGCGAAATTCCTTTTCAATTTAATTAAAGGATGATATTCGTTCTGGAAGAATAGAATGCGAATTTTTTTTATCACGATTCTGATGTTTCCAATTTTATTATTATGTGGCCTATTATGCTATAATATATATCTTATTTTAAAGAATTTAACGATATTCGATCAATTTCCCTTTCCACGTTATTTTTATTAAAAGTAATCGATTCGACAAATGATTATACACGTAGTGGAATACCGATATCTATATTATATTACTATACGATAGTAATATAGCATTTCAGAGGCAGATATATGATATATCATTGACCAACGACAAATTATTCGATTTAGAAGCAATTCGAAACGAACTCGTTTCCTTGTGCTCCATAAAAGCGAGCCTCGAAATCGGAACAAGCAGCAAGATCAACATGGGTTACGTTCCACCGATCGCAAGAAGATTTCCCGAGGTACGCAAAGCGACGAGACTTGGAATAATTTCCACGGCGCTTGGAAACCATCGTGGAAACCAAGTTGCCGCCTCGAGCGATAATAGGAAACAGGCGAAAGGAAGAAGGGCATTGCCGACAATATGGCGGATAGAGACATTACCAGCCAACACTTTAGATAAGAGGTTAGATTCAGGTAGCAGTTCTTAGTCGCTCGCTCGATCCATCCATTTCCCATCCTTTTCCTCTTTTTTCTTTCTCTCTTTTCATCTTTCTTTCCCTTCTCGATGATCCACACGCCGCTCTCCAAATGGACCGTGTGATCTCTCGCCGATCTCGGTCGCGAGATGCTCGGCTAGCTGATTACCGAGCAGACGCTTCACGCTTCGTTTCTCGCCAATTGCTTCCCTATTTCGTCGGGGATCGTACGAGGTTGACGGTGCCAGACGCTTGTAATTTCACGCCGCTGCGTACTCACCTTGGTTTCTCGCGTATTCCGCCCGGATTCCGTGGCGATCTCTGCCCTTTTTGCCCGATCGATCGCGACGCCTCGAGACGTTTTGATCTCTTATCGAGACAGATTCTAAAGAAATCGCGGTTTCTTTCAAGCCCCCCTCCTTCCAAGGTTTCGTAAATTGTATCTTTTTATAAATTATCGTTCTAATTTTTATAGGAAGAAAAAGATCTTTGGATTGATTCGGTTTATTCGATCGAGTTAATAGATTCGACTGATGGATATCGTGTATATAGGAAACGCGTGTTCCGTAAAAAAGGTATTGGTAGTCGTTGTCCAAACTTGGTTCCAGAAGAAGGAGAAAGAAAAAAAAAAATTGGATTGTTCCCTTGAGAAAATAATCTTGGATGGGATCGATCGAAGGCGAATATCATCAGCCTTAGCGGTAACTAAACTTTCAAAGAAGTTCATTTCTATTCACGAGTTGGGACACTTTTGTACTTTGATATTCGTTTTTCTTTTTTGATCAATCAAGATTGTGCACAGTCTTTATATCGTGACCAATGTTTGGAATATTGAATTTCTGAATAGCAAACCATTGAAAGTTTGTAAATAAATATATGAATATATTTGTTTTATATTGAAAGAGTTTTTATAATTGTTCATAATGATAACATAAAATGATTTTATTGTAAATGAAAATTGCGAAGAGATAGATGTAGTTGCAAAAAATGTTTACGCGATGGAACAAAAATATCAATTTATGAATAAATGTGCGTTTTACCTTAAACGAAGAATAATAAAATATATGTAAGTATATGTTTCCAATATTTTGTTGCTTGTTAAATTCTTTTTAATCGAAACAAAAGAAAATATACTTCACATTTTACACATTTATGTGTAATAGATAATAAAAATTTGAATGATAATAACACGACATTGAAATTTTCTTTAAAATTATGACACGATCATAAAAAAGAATAAAGAATACTTACTAATAAAATTTATTGTTACTCTTTTTATGGCTTTACAGTGTTCATGAATGATCTCTTCTATGTTCCTTAACGAATTCCAATCATTTTTAATTTCATCGTAAAATTAAAAACGGAATCTTTTTCTCGAATAAATTTAAATTTTAGTATCTCAATCTACGAAATAGTTACACAATTAATAACAATTGTAACAAAGACCAATATAGATCATAAGAATTGGATTAACGTTGTAATATCGAATCTACCTGCGAAGCCTTTTTCCATTCTTTGAAAGAGTTTGAACGACAGGCCATACAACTGAACACCCTACTATCTCTCTCCCCTTTTTTTCTTCCTTCATCGAATATTCTCACAATTTTTCCTTTTCTCGAATATTTTCCATATTTCCGATCACTATGGAAATCAAAAAGTAATAACGTTGATATTTCGTGTGACAAGTGACATATATTATAGAAATATTATAATTTCAAGCTGTAAACGTTTAATTGCATTCTGTAATATATTTCAATTCTGAGACAATAATTTTTAATTCTAAAGAAAATAAGAATTTCTTCGATTTTTCTATAACTCCATAACTGTAATTAGGAGATATCAATATTAAGAATTATATTTAACATATCGCTATTTTCCTAATGAATTTAATCGAATTTCCTTTTCGAATAAAAGATTTAATATCAATTAATACTAAATTACGAACATATATCACGAAAATAGTTTTTTTTTTTACGTTATTTTATTGATATCTCATTTTTCATCTTTTAGTTAATTGCATAATTGTTATATTTGGCTTTGTGTAATAGATACATGTCATTATGGAAATTTAATGCCGCCAATTTTCCTTTCGTCTGTTTTACGCATGGTCGTCCCCACCGTTTCATTCGTTCATTCTCGTTTCAACGTGCAACAAGTTGCAACCCTATTCTCACCAGCGGGATGCGTACAGTTCGTATACAAACCAGTGCTGTTCAATCTATCGTTATGGATATGAATGACCGCAGACAATTGCTGAGGGTAATATTGAGGCAAAGATATGAGCAATGAAACTAGTGGAATAAATACTTCAGATTTCTCTTCTGAATCCTCTTTCTTATGTTACAATAGAAGAACTTGAAATTTTAGGTGCTACTTGGATTATTACATTAAGTTTGAAAATAATGCAGAAAAATTAGCAGAATGGACTTCAAACTTTAGATCTATTGGAGTAAATATGTATTGTCTGTGGCTGATGCTGAGAACAAAGTTATTGATAATTAATAGATTTTAAGTATAAAGATACAGTTCTTATATTGTATTAAACATCTGTTTAATATTTATTGTATAAAAATATATATATATAAATGGAAGTTGTGGTGTTTATTAAAAATTATTATAATTTTATCTGCAATTTCTTGAAGACGCAATTTATGATATATAATTTTTAATCTAATTTTAATGAAATTTGAAAATCAAGAATAAATTATTACTTTGTTGTACACTTATAATGTTTGTAATAATTATCAAATTGTTTAATGGAATATGTTACCTTGAATTCTGATGAAATAATTATTTTTAATCTAATCCATATTTTTCCCACTTTTGTATCTTCATTATTTTTTCAAGAAAATTCCAATTAGTTTGGACATGATAGAAGTAGTTTTTTAGAGATTATATTCTTTAGATCTTCAGATTATATTCTTGAAAATCAAGTTTGCATTGATAAAATAAATATATATGACAGTTCACAATATCGAGTATGAAAAATCTATCAATGAAAGAAATATCTGAAAGATAAAAACAGTTACGAAAAGAATAAACATGTTGGCTTCGATAGGTTATTATGGCTGAATAACCTATTATTCGATAATCGAATATTCGATTATTATACAGACCAATAAAAGTTGCTGAATGATATTATAGTATTCTTTAGTTTTTTCGAAGAAAAAAAAGAGAAGAAAAAAGTTCGAATGCGTCAGACGTATCATAATGACAATGGAATCAATTTTCAAACATAAGTAAATTAAGTAAACTATGGGATAGACGGTTTTTCACCATTGTTTCACTTTTCTCCCGCGTTTTCTATAGCTGCGCATGCGCATTTATAAGCGCCATTGTCAGTGCGCATCGTGAAGTGTTTCGATGAAAGTGTCTCAAAGAAATAAAAAGGATTTTTAATTATTATTTCTTCGTAATATCGTTTTATTTATACATATTGTGTAAAATGAATGATAAAGTGTCAAGTGAATGAAGAGAATTCCCGTGAAAATCTCTTAGTAAACTTTAATTGTATAATGTCGATCGTGAGTTTGTACATGACGTGTAAAATGTGTAATAATCGTAATAATGTGATCTTCAAATACGATATATATTGAACATGAAGTTGAAAAAAAGAAAGAGGAAAAGCAACTGTATGACTGTAATTATTAAAATCAACAATACGATGTAACGGTGAGTACGTAATTTTAAATATATATTTAGAGGTTAGGTTCACTTGTCAATTAAGAATCATATTGAATCGAATACATTACAGTGAAGAAAGATATAGATATGTTGATCATCTGAAATTAAAATATTTTTTAAATCATATTTAAGTCCTTTATAATCGAGATGAAGTTATATAAACTATCATAGTAGACAGATTAAAACTTTCTTTTTGAACAAAATATTCATTAGCGTAATACAATTACTGTAGATATTATGTGTAATTATATTATAAAATTGTTGATTTCGTAACTAAAATTTGATAAAGCTTGACCAATTGATATCATAATTATCATAACCAGTTAATTATCATAACTAATTTCTTACCGAAAAAAAACCTCTCATAGACATGATATAGAAACTACCAATACCCTGAACGTATTGTTTCGAAGTTCTTAATAATCCTTGAAGTACGAATTTTTGTATTTTGAGCGGTTGTCTATACCATTTTGTATCATACCTAATTTCGTAATAAAATCATACTTCTTTTTAAATTTCCTTTTTTCTTATTATCATTTTACTTACAATTCATAGAATGGATGCAATGAATAATCCATGATGATTTGACCGATATAGTTATGTATAAACGCATAAAATAAATGTACCAAAATACTATAACCATATGAAAATGCGTTTGTCGTGTCATCCAAATAAGCAGTAGTAAACTATGATGTAGAGTAGATTTGCAATAATTGAGGTGTGTTAAAATTAATTAGACTTACAAAATACATTCTATAATGTATTAATTAAAAAGTACTCACTAATATCATATAAGTGGCTAAAGAAAATGCGATTATCAGATTGATGATGCAATTCATTATCGACAACTTTTTCAATAGGACATTGCACACGCTTAAATAATGAAAATTTTAGGTTAGATCTACGTCTTTAGCTTCTGAAATTTATTTTATCTGCGATATTAATATTAATACCGACTCGATACGTGTATAAGTTTCCATTGCATCGCAAATTTTCCTGTAAGTTCGATCAATTTCAACATTCGCAATATTTTTTTCCGAATCATTATCAATTGCTCTTTGTATGCGATAACTGAAAAATAGAATTTTTTTTTGAAATTCAGTGAAAACAAGATTTTTTATTATTTTTTTATTACCTTATTATCCCAAATAATGCGCAATAATGGTATGCCAGGAGAAGGTGCGTAAACTCAACTGGTAATATTGAAATTATATTATTCTCCAGAAAACAAAAGTAGTATATGACAATTAGGTAAAAATGTTCGTCCTTCTCTGCATTATATGATCGTGCCAAGTCTATTGAGACATGTCGAGACTTATTCAGGGGTATGATGATATCCACAAAGATTGGAGATATTGGTATTGTAACGTAAAGAACCACGCTTATTTGAAATAATACTGAAATTATTGATAATACATTTAATAGATACAAAAATTTTTTTATAGATTTAAAATCATAGAGAATAAAAATTATAAATTGATCACTGATAATTATTACTAGAAGAATATGTGCATAAAAAGTGATATAGTATATATAAGTTTGATAAGATTTTAATCATGAACGTACGTGAAAGTAATGGAATTATTCGCTTTTGTTTTTTGGCGTAATCTTCCAATATTTCTAACTCTTTCTCATGAGCAAATGTTTCCCAATCATTGGATATTGAGTTAAAGGCAAATTTTATCTAAATAAGAAATAATATCACGATAAAATCATATTCTAAATAATAAACTTATAATTAAATATTATATTAATTTATTGCTACCATTTGAAGTTTTTAGACATAGACAAGTTATTCCAATTAAATATTCTCTCAATACAGATTATGTTGACTTACATCGTTTTTCAAAATTATGCATAGTATGTATTTAATATATAATGTCAATGTCACTAAACAAAATCTACTAATGCCAAATATTTCAAGCAAACCAAATTTTTCCAACGATTTTATCTGAAAGAATCGATTAATGAAAACTTTATTCCTAATGGAAAGAAAATTAAAAAATTAAGCATTGTATAATACCACCAATATTTCAGTATTTATTTACTTATAATTTGATTTTCTTTTCGCGAAAAAAAAATATCAAGTTTTACTAATTTAAAAGTGCATTGTACATCATTATTATTCAAATCGATTTTCAAAATAAATTATTATCAAAGTTCCATTAATAATAAAACATCATATGAATCATACCTGAAAAATTATGAAGGATATCGACACGAATATAATCACGAATCTTATTACTATGATCAGATTTGACTCACTGTATGGCCAAATACCGGCGATTATCATATGGACACGATAGTATTTGTAACAATCTTTTTCGAACACGTTCATCTTGCCATGAAAGTCGAAACTCGTCTGCCCAATATCCAATGAATCGATTTTCCATTACACCTTGTTGGTATATTTTATTCATCAGATTAGGAGTCAATTCTACGTAGGGATCGCTGTAATATTTTCTTAGAGATAGATAATTTTTTTGAAATTTATGGACAACATTATGTATACTCCATCGGAATAATATGCAGAATTTTCGCTCTCTTTGAAGAAAAAAGCGACTAAATTATATGGTATAAAAAATACAGAAGAGAATCAAAGCACGATAATTGACAGCAAAAGTTTTTCCTCACTGTGCAAGAAATGTCTAAAATTATCTGCTATGTCATTCGTATTCATCGATGAACATTTATAGAAACAGTTTCGATCTTCTTCTCTCTCGAATTGAACGGTATTTGTAGTTGTAGAAAATGATATACCTGGAGTAGAGTGCAACGAAAATTTGATAATGTGAACCAATAAGAAATGGTTAATATTAAAATGATCGTTGTGAGTAACAATTTTGAAAGTATTACATTACAATTTTTCAATAAATGTTGCGGAAGAGTTTAATTATTACAGTTTAATTATTCGCGCTGACTTAAAATGAAAGTAATAAATCCATATAAAATTCATTCACTTGGTCTGAAAGATTGTCGTTGTTGTGAATATTTTTTATTGATAATGATTAAATGAAATAAATTTGAATCTGATATAAGAGCAATGATGAAAAAAAAGAAAATGAAAATTTTATTTCTCCCCAAGATTAAGGAATAAACGTACGGAATTTTTTTTAAGTTAATTATAATGATATCGAAATGATCAATAACAAAAAATGTGCGTGAATTAATTAACAATTCGAGAGTAGTTGATATTTATAGAATATTTTACCGAGCGAATGTTGAAAAAAAAAAACAAATTAATGAACAATAGTATCCATTCAAATCCAAATCAAGCATATATCAATAATAATTGTTTATTTCTGATATTAACACAATATTCTAATATGAAGCCATAGTTTTTATTGTATCGAGTATATCAGGGTGAAGTACGAAAACGACGAACTTAACATCTAAAATTTTCCGTAATTTTTTATACATCAATTTTTGAATCGAATTGAAATGTGATGTTGTTATTTAAAAAAAGAATTTACCGTTGAAAATCCTGAGTGGCACGGGATGAACAAATCTAAGATGTTGAATCCATATGTCGTTGAACTTTGTAAAATGATCATCAATAAGATTTTTTGCGCTTTCAGTGGCATGGAATACCACATCGAATTATATCTGTTCATTCAATGGTAATAACTTTTTTTTTCCGGCGCAATTAATATAATTAATTTCAATTACATAATAAATGAATTCAAACTTACAATTCATCGAACAATTCTTGACTACTGTTCATAAGTATTTGACCAGTATAATTATTGACGAATATAATCACCAAGTGAATAGCAACAAGTGTGAAACAGAATAACATTTCTAATTGGTTCTTCTTAATTAAAATTGTATTTACTAGCTAAATCAGAAAAATTGAGAAAAATAAATAAGTGTAACTATAAGTGTACATACTTATTTTAAAATAGAACATTTAAAACATTACGTTTATATATATATATACACGCAGTAAATAAGAGATGTTCACTTACTCGATGCAAATTTATAGCCAATGAGATCACGACTAGCAGATTAGCTATTATATAATGCATCCCTGCAGTACTTACCGTGAAATTGATAAATCTATCATTGAAATTTAAGAATATAATATTAACATAAGCATCTCGAAGACGAACTTGTAAATACAATCATATTTTAATTCACCAACTCGATAGCTTGATTGTGAATATCCACTACGCGATACAGCTCTACGAGTTTCGAGTCAATTTGTTCGGATGAGAGCTTAAACGTAGCCAAATACGTAACAATTTTTTGAATTCGATAACTGAAACATATAACACTTTTAAATTTATCTTATATTTAATCTACAGTTTGCAGGATTAATATATTCTTGAAGCTGTATTTTTGAAGCGTTCATTTTAAAAGAAAAAACAAGTGGATAAATTGATATAGAAAAATATCGATTAGAGTGAGAGTGTTTTGACTTCCTATTAACACAATTTCAATTTCTCAGTTTTAAATGAAGTTACATTAATTGTAACTTAATAATTTAATTTCAACTGACATAATCTACGAATATTTATATTAATTCATGATTACTATTTATTTTGATAATTAATTTACGATTATTAATTCATGTAATATAAGATCAACATGAAAATTTCACTTACTTAAGAATTTTCAACAGCATGCATATATAATAAGTACAAATTCCGGTTATCGATTCCGAACATGTTATAGATAACAATCCAAATGTAGTAATAAATGTTACATCGAAGCATAGAATATCAAGATATATAGTTTGATCGTGAGAAAATGTTGTAAAGTAAGACGAATATGAGATTCGTTCAAAGGTATTATAAGATCTAATATTGCAGGATAAAATAAGCATGCACTATAAAATGTAATAGTCGTGTAAGTCATCCCTAAAATTTAGAGAGATTGTTTAGTAAGATGTTTAAAACAATTAGAATATTGTAATATCATTACTCAAAAATCTCTTTTTGTGAAAAGAAAAAAAAAAAGAATTCTAGCAATATTTATTGAAAAAAATATAATAAATTATAAAGAAATAAAATGCATCAAAATAGTTATATAAATAGTAGAAATGTAATAATAAATATAGATATATGAATATTTTCCAACATTTAAATGGTTACAATGCTAAGGAAATAATTACTAATTGTTTGTATAAAAGAAATTCACACAAATAATACATTTCTTACATAAAAAAATGTTGATTATATGACATGAATCATCGATCAATTTCATTCGTATTTGCGATTCTATTGAATCTCGAACTATACTTTCCTCTGTACGTATATGATCGAATACAATTTTGATCTGTCAAAGATAGAATAACATGTAGAAATGTTGATATATAAAGTATCAATTAAAAATAATTATAATTTTTACTCACTGTAGGAAAAAAGACTATAAAACCGACATATCGTAAAAGAAATAACGTAAATGGGCAGATTGTAGATAATATTAAAATACTGTTTTCTAATGTAATTTCAGATCTTAAAAGTGACATAACCTAAAAATACATATTTTGTTTGTATTATAAAGATAATAATTCAGGCTTTTTAATGATGATATTAATTCAATTATATATTAATCAATACATTAGAAACAGGTATAAATTATTTCAATAAACTAGGGAATAATAATCTAAAAAAAAAAAAACTATAATATACAAACATATTGAAATTATATAAATAGGAAAAAATGATGATTTTCGTTACCTGAAATATTATATTTAGAAGAAAGGAGGTTAATTAACCATAACCTCTGAATCCATACATAGAATGAGTTATCGTATGGCCACAATCCTACAATTTTCAATACAATACGAAAAATACGATACTGTTTATCGAACACATCCATCATTCTGGTCAGATGTCGACTATCTTGTAAAATTCGAGGAATTATTCGACTATACCTCGGTTCCATGTATTACTCACATTATTATTTTTTTATCTTGAATTTTCATGGTGTCATCTGTTTATAATAATCAACTATAATACGCGAAAGTTACAGTAAACTGCAATCGATCGATTTTGTTCTTTGCACTCATTGCAAAGAGATTCTTCACGATAAATATTGATTTCGAGAAAATTACAACTTTGGTATTATCATTCTTCTTTATACTTTCTTGCATACATTTCTTTTATTTCCCCTTTTCTATTTTTTTGTAACCAGTATTCCTATTGTCGTCGTTCACATATATTTGAGACATCGTTTCTCCTATGTTTTTTTCTGAAGTTCTGAGGTGTTAAAATGTTCAAAGAGAATTGTAATAGAAATCAAGGAATAAGAAATGTGAAACAATCTTACGTGGAATGCAGTGAAATATATAACGTCATGATGTAAATTGTTCGAAGCAAAAATTTTATAAATATATTGTTGCAATTGTAAATATTCTCATACATTTTGTTGTATGAAATTTCTCCTTTTTAAGAAGAATAATACTGGCAAATTTTATTATTCTACAAATTAATTACGATTATTATTATTTTTTTTAACTTTTTTTAATTCCTCTTAAAACAACATTTGTTCGATAATACAAGTGAATATTAATATAAATTATTGATGTGTTTGAAAAAATTAAAAGTTGTTAAATTAGATTTGATACAATTGTACACATCTTACATCTTTTCTTCTGTAAAATTAAAAATTTGAAATTAAGGAACTTATGAAGAAAGAAGGAATAACGATAAAAGATAACTATTTATTAATAATATATATATATATATATATATATATCAATAATAATTATTTATTTCTATATTAACGCATATAATAATTTCTATTGTATCGAATATATGAGAGTGAAATAGGAAAACGACGAACTTAACATCTGAAATATAGAAATTTTCATCAGTTTTCGTTGAATTAAAATGTTGGGTGACATAATTGTTCAAACAAGTTACCGTCGAAAATCCTGTATAGCATGGAGTGAACAAACCAAAGAGGTTAAACGCACATACTGTTGAACTTCGTAACATGATCAGCAATAAGATCTTTTGCGCTTTCAACGGTATCGAATACCACAAAGAAACATATCTGTTCATTCGATAATAACATTTTTTTTCATCGTGCAACTATCGCAATTAATTTCATGAATAATTGATTAAAACTTACAATTCATCGAACAATTGCTGGCTATTGTCTATAAGTATTTGACCATTATAATTATTTAAGAACATAACCATCAAATGAATGGTGACAAGCATAAAACAGAACGACATTTCTAATTGGTCCTTCTTAATTATACTTACACTTACTAGCTGTGAAAAATAAGAAAAATAATATATTAAATGTATAATCATTTTGGGATTGGTTATTTCTTTATTTATTGTAAGATTTCAATCGTAAGATGCGTGAAGCGTTTCTTTTTCATTACATCATTAAATTCTAAAAGATTTTGCAAGATTGTTATTAGACATATATGATTAAATTAATATATTATCGGATGAATTTCGTTAAAATTATCGCGTAAGGAAAAGTTACGATATAGATACTTACTCGATGCAAATTTATAGCCAACGAGATCACAGCTAATAGACTAGCTATTATATAATGTATCGCTGAAGCATTTATCGCGACATTGGTAAATCTTCCATTACCACATGAAATTTTCGAACATTATAATATTAATATAAATTCATCTGGGAGACGAACTTGTAAATACAATCATACTTTAATTTACCAACTCGATAGCTTGATTGTGAATATCCACTACGCGATACAGCTCTACGAGTTTCGAGTCAATTTGTTTGGACGAGAGTTTAAACATAGCCAAATACGTAACAATCTTTTGTATTCGATAGCTAAGAACATTTATAACACAATTAACATATGATAAAATACGATTTGTGATCTATTAATTTTTGTGAACATTATAATTTAAATATTATAAATGTGTTAAGTATTGATTATATAATCAATATGATAAATTCACTCACCTAATAATTTTCAACAATATGCATATGTAGTAGCTGCAAACTCCGATCAACGTTTCTGTACATGCTATGGATAATACTCCGAGTATAATAAGAAACGTAATATTGAAACATAGAATATCGAGATACATGATTCGATCGTGAGAAAACGTTGTAAAGTAATAAATAAGACGAATACGAGATTCGTTCAAAGGTATTATGAGATCAAGTGTTACAGGATACAATAAATATAAACTGTAAAATGCAATAGTTGCATAAGACATCCCTAAAATTTGAAATGATTATTTAATAACTTATTCAATGATGTTTAAGCCAGAATATCAATATAATATCATTATTGACAAATCTTTCTTGTTATACAAAAAGAAGGAAAAAATTCTGATATTTTTGTTATAGAAAGAATATGACGGATTATGAGTATTATGATCATATGAAAAAAAGAAAATATACTATTTATATAATATTAAATATATATATATATATATAAAATTATTGAATATTTAAATAATTAATAATTAAATGATAATGATATATCACTGGTATATATCAATTATAGATCAATATAATTATGAAATAAATTTACATAAATAAGAATAATTTCTTACAGAAAAATATATTAATCAAATGACACGAATCATTGATAAATTTAATTCGTATCTGTGCTTCTATTAAATCTTGAACTATACATTCCTCTACACGTATGTAGTTGAATACAATTTTGATCTGTGTCAAAGAATAACACATAGAAACATTCTTTCAAAAGAGACCAATTCAAAATAATTCTAATTTGTACTCACCGTGGGAAAAAGTATCATAAAACTTACATATCGTAATAAAAATAAGACAAATGGACAGGTCATAGACGATGTTAGAATGAAGTTTTGTAATGTAATTTTAGATTTTAAAAGTGACAAAACCTAAAAATATATTTGTTAAAACTTGGATGTTTAGGCTTTTTAATAGGCTTAAACGATAATATAATGATTCATATATTAAGTATATCATAGAAGTATCATGCATATAATGAGTGTTACGTACATTGTTACAGTTTATTTCAAACAGAAAAATGAAAAATTTATCAATTAAAAAAAAAAAAAATAAAAATAAAAAAGAAACATATTGATTTTAATCTATTCCTTTTGTACGTGTATATATTATTTTAAAATATGAATATTTTTATATAATTTAAAATAAAATAGGAAAACCTATTTACACAATATCACAGTAGATTTAAGATCGTATTATATGAATCAATATATTACGAATAGATATATCTTAATATTTAAAAAAAAAAAAAAACAATAAAAATCCTATAAAATTGAATACAAACAGATTGAAATTATATAAATAAAGAAAAAATCATAATTTTCGTTACCTGGAATATTATACTGCCAAGAAAATAGGTTAATAAACATAATCTCTGAATCCATATACAAATTGAATTATCGTATGGCCATAATCCTACGATTTTCAATAGAATACGATAAGTACGATATTGTTTGTCGAACACGTCCATCTTCTTAGTCGGAAGTCTTCTTAACTGCCATGTAAAACTCGAAAAATCGTTCGACTATATCTCGACTCAATTATTCATATTATTATTTTTCCATCTTGAAATTCCATAATGTCACATCTGCAGTGACAGACTATAATACGCGAAAATTACAGTAAATTGATAGATTTTGTTCGCACCAGAGGTTCTTCTATATTTTTTTCTCTCTCTCTCTCTCTTCTTTTTCCCCTTATTTTTATTTATAATTTGAAAATGAAGAGTATTCTTGTACTGGTCAATTACGTAAAAGACGTCATTCCTCCTATAATTCTATAATGTTAGAGTATATTATAAAATATTTAGGGAGCTATAGTATAAATCAAAAAGTAAAAAAAAAAAAAAAAGAAGAAAAAGAAAAAAAAATAGTTAAACAGTTTAACATGGAAAACAGTAAGATGTAAATTCTTTAAAGCAATGGTGTCATACAAATTTTACAAATGTATTATTGCAATAGTAAGTATTTTCTGTGTTGTCTATGAAACGTAATATCATTTTTTTTTCTTAATTTTGTTATTCATCAATTTGTAATACATTTCCTTTTAAAACAATACGCATCAAATCATATTAACTCAATAATATGACAAAATTATTCGCAATGAGATTTGCGTTTGTGTGATAATAAAATTAAGTGTACGATAAATTATGAATGTATCAAAAGTGAAAAAACTAAAAAAAAAAAAAAAAAAAAAATTAATTGAAACAATTGGATTTAACAAATATTATTTTTTTTTTCTTCTGGAATGAAAACATTCGATTTGGAAAAGGAGTCACAAAGAAACGAAATAAATGAAAAGGGATTATATTTTTCATCCAGATCAATTATATATGTCAATAAAAATTATTTATTTTAACACGATTCAACGATTTTTATTTCGAGTACATCAGACTATAATAAAACGATGAACTTACAACATCTGAAATGTAATTTTTATCAATTTCCAATTTTGTTGTGCTGCAATTATTTAAAGAAATTACCTACTCTTGCGTGATACGAAATGAACAAATCTAAGATATGAAACGTATGTGTCGTCGAACTTTGTAACATGATCAGCAATAAGATCTTTTGCGCACTCAAACGTATGGAATACCACACAGAAATATATCTGCTCATTCATACCTTTCTGCTCAAGAATACCTTTTTAAAAAAAAATTAATTAAGAAATTGTCTATATTAGTGCAATAATAAATATTTTTTATTTAATTTTATTTTAATTGAAAAACGATCAATGGATTTATGAGATATAACATTATTTTTTAAAAATTTTATAATTTATATTCAATTTTCAAAATATCATTATTCAAATCCACGTGTATAACAACAATATCATATGATTACAACACTTATATTCAAGTAAAATGCTAGTATTATCCAAGAATATTTATTGAAGTGAATATATAACGGCGCAATAGGAGAAGGACGAACTGATCATCTATAATATCACAATAGTTAAAAGTGTTGAAATTCAAAATCATGTTGTAAGAAAAAAAGAAGTGAAATTACCGACATAAAGCCTGCATAAGACGGAGTGAATAAACCAGAAAGACATAATTCACAACCCATTGAGCTTCTCACTATCATAAACAATAATAGTTTTTGCGCTTTTAAAGGAATGCGATACCACGTAGAAGAGTGTCTGCATATTATTCTATTATTTAATACATTCCAATAATATCGTTATATATTTATTATAACAGAGTGATAAAATATGAATTATCTAAACAATACAGATGTAAAGATATAGTAATTATTCGAACTTACAATTCGTTAAATATGCCAAGACTACTGTCAATAATTAATTGTCCATAATGATTATTGTAAAATGCGACCATTAAATGGTACACAACTATAAAAGCAGAACCGAAGATTTCGATTCGATCGTCCATAGTTGTTATTGCATTATATAGCTATTAAATAACCAAATAATATATTTAATTCTACATTTTCAGTAATGAGTAATCTAGAGAACGTCGCAGTTATTTCACAGCTGATATACAAAAGATATGGTATATTATTGTTGCATACTTCAATTTTTGTTTAAAGAAATTAAAAATTATATCTATTAAAGGAATCATTAAAATTCATTCAGAAAATAGAGAAAATTATATACTATGAATATCTTAACCTATTGCCAAAATATAAGAAATTTCAATAGCACTTAACATAGCGCCAAAATTATGAATATGCTTATGACCATTCAATGACATATTTTTTTTCTAGAAATTACCCAACATTTGTTACATATATTTTGTTGTTTAGGATAGACCAAATGTAAGCGAAAAATCCGAATAGGAAATCACGAGGTACACAGTAAACAATAAAAAAATTGTTCTTTTCCTTAAACGATAAGCTCGCAAACTGGAAATCATATCGGATGCAGTAACAAGCATTTTTTAGGAGAAGATTTCGCGATTCCAATGACTTTTCACCACCGATTGAGAATAATTATTTTCGAAATTCGAGCAATTTAAATTTTTCTTAATTTTAATAGGATTTATTCGACTTTCAAGATAAATTCCGCTTAAGATTTCATAAATTTTTAAGAAATAAGATAGATAAATAGCATATAAATACATTAAAAAATACTTACGCGATATAGATTTACAGAGAATGAGAGTATGCAGATAATAACTGCCGTCAGATATTGTGTCGCTGTGGCATTTGTGCCCATATTAATCTTCCAAGTACAACGATATAAGATACGTGAAAAATTAATATCATTTAAGAAATTATTATTATTATTAATTATTCTAATATTTTAATTTACCAATTCGATAGCTTGATTGTGAATGTCCACTACTCGATGTATATCTGTAAGTTTTAAATCTATCTGTTTCGGCATAGTAATAATACCGAGATCCTCAATGATTTTTCGTATTCGATAACTAAAAAATATTTGAAATATAGATATGGATAGAAATTTATGTAACATAATAAGTAATTTACCTGGCAATATAAAATTTTCTGCATATATAGTAACTAAAAATATTAGTTAACGATTCTGTGCCTATTAAAGACAATAATCCGAATAACATAATTAACATGAAATTTAAGATTAAAAAGATTTTAATACACGGGCTTTGATCATCAAAAAGGAATAAAACATTGAAGTGAGTGCGAGATTCGTTTAAAGGCATAATTATATCCAATGTTACAGGATTCAGTAAAAATATGATGACTGCTGCAATACCAAAAAAACTCATCCCTAAAATTTCCAAGTATTACTTAATATTTCAATATTATATATAAATAATTTCGTATTTTTGAAATAATTTTTATTTTGATAAAAGAATTGTAACATTTTTAGAAAAAGTTCTAATCAAAACGGAGAAAGTACTAATAAAAATTAATTAATATATCAAAAATTGTAAAATGATATAGAATATTTCTTAATATTTTTATATATTATTTATTATAATATATATACGATTTTCATAGTCACGATGACAATAAAAATTGTTGATTGATAATTAAATTTAACAAATTAGTGTACACAAAGTGATTTCTTACAGCAAAAAATGTCGATAATGTGACTAGAAATATCGAGATATTTCGTTTGTATTTGTATTTCTATCGAATCTTGTAACAGATGTTCTTCTGTAAGTAACTTATCGAACAATAATTCTACCTGAACAACAACAGAAACGTACATATAAATAAATGTTCAATAATATAAATAATTTTATTTTTCGAATTTCACTTACAAATGAAAATATTGTAATAAAATGAAGATATCGTAAAAAATATAGCAATACAGGACAAGTCATAGATAACGTAACGATGAAATTTTTTAACGAAATTTCAGATTTTACAAGCACGATAATCTAAAATATTATATTCGTTAAATTAAGATTAAACATCTTAATGTAGTCATCAACAGTAGAAAATATTTCTTTTATCAAATATTTGTGTTTATTATTGATTTTGGTTATTTAAATAAAATGTTGTCTAAACATTATGGAACATAAAATATTTTAAACTTATCTACATAATATTTTCGTATATTGATATATTTAATAATTTTAGGATTAGCATGCTAAAATAAAAATAATTTACAGATTTCTACTATTGACAAAAATAAAAATTAAAATTTTATTACCTGAAATAGTATAATGATAAGAAAAAATATTAATAAACATATTCTTTGAATCCATACGTAGATCGAGTTATCGTATGGCCACAATCCTACAATTTTCAATACAGTACGATAAGTATGATAATGATTGTCGAACACGTTCATTCTTCTTGCTAGATATTAACTGCCACGTAAAATTCGAAGAATCATTCGTCTATACCTCGGTTCAATATATTATTCACATTATTATTTCTCTATCTTAAATTCTATAGTGTTCTCTTCTTGTACTATAGACGATTATACGTGAAAATTATAGTAAATTACAATTGATCGATTTTCTTCGCACTCGATACTAAGCGATCATTATTTCATAAAAGATTTTCATTCATATATTTCTTTTTCTTCTTTCTTATTTTTTCCACTTTTTGATTTGAAGGTAAAGCACTGTCAGTATTTTTATAATCGTCGATTACTAACGACAATGTTTCTTTTGTAATGCTAAAATGTTAAAAGAATTATAATAGAAAGAAATAAGAAAAGTGAAACAGTTTCATGTGAAAAATAGTGAAACAGATTATTATGATACAAATAATTTAAACTTATCGTGTTGTAGAAATTTGTTATCATATATTATTGCAACAATAAATATTTCAATAACTGGAAAACGATTAACAGATTTGTGAAATACAACATTATTTCGTTTACATTTTATTACTTAAATTGTGCTTATATTTCACAAATATCCATTATTCAAATCCACCTATATAACAACAATACCATATGATTGCAATATTTATATTATAAATAAAATGTCAGTATTATCCCAAAATATTTATTGAATTGAATATATAACGGCACAATAGGAGAAGGACGAACTCATCATCTGCAATGTCACAATAGTTAAAAGTATTGAAATTCAAAATGATACTGTATAACAAAAAAAAAAAAAGAGAGAAATTACCGACGTAAAACCTGCATAAGATGGAGTGAATAAACCAGAAAGACCTAATTCACAACCCACTGAGCTCCTCAAAATCATAAACAATAATAGTTTTTGCGCTTTTAAAGGAATGCGATACCACGTAGAAGCATATCTGCATATTATTCTATTATTTAATACATTCCAATAATATCGTTATATATTTAATAAAACAGAGTGATAAAATATGAATTATCTAAACAATATAGATGTAAAGATATAGTAATTATTCGAACTTACAATTCGTTAAATATGCCAAAACTACTGTCAATAATTAATTGTCCATAATGATTATTGTAAAATGCGATCATTAAGTGATAAAGAACTATAAAAGCAGAACCGAAGATTTCGATTCGATCGTCCATAGTTGTTATTGCATTATATAGCTATTAAACAATCAAATAATATATTTAGTTCTATATTTTCAGTAATAAGTAATCTCAAGAACATCGCAATTATTTTACAGTTGATATACAAAAGGTATAATCTATCATACTAAATGATGTTCTTATATTCTTTATATTAAAACGATAGCTTGTTGTTACATACTTTAACTTTTGTAAAAGGCAAGAAAAAATTAAAAATTAATTTATTTATTTACCACAATTTTATTATCAAAATTTACTTAGAAAATATAGAAAATTATACTACTGAAATCCTTATTTAATATTTCTATCCGTTTCAGACAAGTTCTTTCCATAGTACTTAATATAGTGCAAAAGTTATGAATCTGCTTGTGATCATTCTATGATACAGTTTTTCTTAGAAATCGCGTGTATCATATGTCTGAAGTATCGCATAGGTCAGTGAGACCATATGCTAGCGAGTAGTCCAAATAAGAAGACAAGATAAATAATAATCTAGAAAAAATTACTCTTATCTTTAATCTATGACAACATCGCACATTGAATGTTATATCAGATGTATTGAGAAGCATTATAAAGTACAAGTTTCCGCGGTTCTAATGATCTCTCATCTATGGATCAAGAATAATTATCTTCGAGATTGTAGCTATTTAAATTTTTTTTAATTTTAATAGAATTTATTCGAGTTTTAAAGTAAATTCCACCTACAGCAATCTAAACATCAATGATATATCAGAGATTCTAAATCTAAGATTTCAGAAATTATTTAGTGGAAATAAAATTGATAAATTGCAATACATTAAGAATTACTTACGCGATAAAGATTTACAGAGAATGACAATATGCAGACAACAATTGCCAGCAGATATTGTGTCGCTGCATTACTTGTGGCTAAATTAATATGCCTTCCAAGTATGACAATATAAAATACATGAAAAATTAATATTATTTAAAAATTTATTATTATTACTATTTTTCATAATATTTTAATTTACGAACTTGATTGCGTCGTTATGAATGTCCACAACTCGATGTATGTCTATAAGTTTCAATTCTATTTGTTTGGATAGAGGCATACTGAGATCCTTAATAATTCTTCGTATTCGATAACTAAAAAATATTCGAGATTTCGATTATCTTATTTTGGCATATTAGATAAAAATATATGCAACATAATGAAGTAACTTACCTGGCGATATGAAATTGTCTACATATATAATAACTAAAAATATTAGTGAACAATTCTGTACCCATTATACATAATAATCCCAATGATACATTTAACATGCAGTTTAAGATTAAAAAAATTTTAATATACAAGCTTTGATCGTCGAAAAGAAAGGAGACATTGAAATGAACGCGAGATTCGTTTAAAGGCATTATGGAATCCAATATTATCGGATTCACTAGGAATATGATGCTCGCTGCAATAAAAGCGAAAGTCACGCCTAGAATTTGAAAGAGTTATTTAATATTTCAAAGTCATATATAAATAATCTTGAATTTTTCAAATTACTTTCATTTTGAAATTTTTTTTAATTTTAATAGAATTTATTCGAGTTTTAAAGTAAATTCCACCTACAGCAATCTAAACATCAATGATATATCAGAGATTCTAAATCTAAGATTTCAGAAATTTTTTAGTTGAAATAAAATTGATAAATTGCAGTACATTAAGAATTACTTACGCGATAAAGATTTACAGAGAATGACAATATGCAGACAACAATTGCCAGCAGATATTGTGTCGCTGCATTATTTGTGGTTAAATTAATATGCCTTCCAAGTATGACAATATAAAATACATGAAAAATTAATATTATTTAAAAATTTATTATTATTACTATTTTTCATAATATTTTATTTACGAACTTGATTGCGTCGTTATGAATGTCCACAACTCGATGTATATCTGCAAGTTTCAAGTCTATTTGTTTGGACAGAGGCATACTAAGATCCTTAATAATTCTTCGTATTCGATAACTAAAAAATATTCGAGATATTGACATATTAGATAAAAATATATGCAACATAATGAAGTAACTTACCTGGCGATATGAAATTGTCTACATATATAATAACTAAAAATATTAGTGAACAATTCTGTACCCATTATACATAATAATCCCAATGATACATTTAACATGCAGTTTAAGATTAAAAAAATTTTAATATATATGTTTTGATCGTCGAAAAGAAACGAGACATTGAAATGAACGCGAGATTCGTTTAAAGGCATTATGAAATCCAATATTATCGGATTCACTAGGAATATGATGCTCGCTGCAATAAAAGCGAAAGTCACGCCTAGAATTTGAAAGAGTTATTTAATATTTCAAAATCATATATAAATAATCTTGAATTTTTCAAATTATTTTCATTTTGCGTAAAGAATATAATAATTTTTAGAAAAAGTTATAATAAAAGGTGAGAAAGTAATTATAAAAATTAATTAATATACTGAAAATTGTAAAAATATTGTAGAATATTTCCCAATATTGCTATGTAATATAATTTTTTTTTAATGGATATATAATTACAGATAACTATAGATATATAATAAAAGTAATCACAATGATAATAAAAATTGTTTATTGTTAAATAAATTTTACGAATTTATATGCATAATATGATTTCTTACAGCCAAAAAAGTAGATGATATGACTAGAAATATCAAGATATTTCGTTTGTATTTGTATTTCTGTCTTATCTTGTAACGAATGTTCTTCTGTACGTATGTGATTGAACAAAAATTCAACCTGTACAAAAAAACATACATATGTATAAAGGTTCGGTAATTGAAATAATTTTATTTTTTGAATTTCACTTACGCATGGAAACATTGTAATATAGTAAATATATCGTAAAAAAAATAGCAGTAGAGGAAAAGTCTCAGACACCGTAAGAATATAATTTCGTAATGTAATTTCAGATTTTAGAAGCACGATAATCTAAAAGATTATATTAAAATTACGATAAAACATGAAACAAGAAAATATTTTTTTAATCTTTAATTATTCAAGAAAATAATTTTTTTAATATACTTGTTAATTTTGATTATTTAAATAAAATCATTTTCAAATAATAATCTTATAGAGAAAAAAATATTTTAAATTCAAATATAATATTCTGATATTAATGTAATTAATAATTTTTGGATCAGCATGTTAAAATAACATATAAATTATTACTATCGATAAAGAGTAATAAAATTTTCATTACCTGAAATATTACACCGCTAAGAAAATACAATAATAAACATATTCTCTGAATCCATACATAGATTGAGTTGTCGTAAGGCCATAGTCCTACAATTTTCGATACGATACGATAGATACGATATTGTTTGTCGAAAACATCCATCTTCCCGGTTAGATATCGACTGCAGTGTAGAATTCGAAAAATAATTTTTCTACATCTCCGGCTAATATATTATTTACGCGATTATTTTTCTGTCTTGTATTTTCACAATATGGCTTGTCTATAGTAACAGACTATATAATGTCCAATAATTACGATAAATTGCAATCGATTTTCGCACTTATTACTAATTCTCCATAACAGACATATTTTCATTCATATATTTCCTTTTTTCTTTTTCGCATTTTTCTATCTTTCAATTTGAAAGGAAAGAAACGAAGCTTTGTCAGTAATCTTACAATTCTTACTTGCTCACGACGCTATTCCTTCTATAGTGCTAAAATATTAGAATTATAATGGAATTAAAGTAGAATAAAAAAAGTGAAACAGTTTTACGTGAAATAGAGTAAGACACAACGTTATAGCATAAATAGTTTCCATTAATAATATCGTAAAAATTTATCTACACATATTTTTACAATAATAAGTTCTCTATTTTGATTTCACTAACTGAAAAACGATCAGTAGATTTATGAAATAAAACATAACTTTTTTGAAAATTTTATTATTCCAATTGTTTGTGTTTATATTCAACAAATTACATTATTCAAGACCACAGATATAATAACAATATCATATGATTACAAAACTTATATCGAAATAAAATACCAGTAATATTCAAGAATATTTATTGAATCGAGTATATAACGGCACAATAGGAGAAGGATGAACTCATCATCTGCAATGTTACAATAGTTAAAAGTATTGAAATTCAAAATGATATTATATAACAAAATGATACTA